TAGGGTAGGAATCTGTCCGGGTGTAATTCATAGCAGATTTTATTTCTATTCCTGACTGGCTTGTTTCTTTTCCAGATCCCTTGCTGTTGGCAGTAAATCAGGCTACAAATTCTTCTCTCTTTCTTCTGTGGACAAATTAGAGCAAATTTATGAATGCAGTGAGTATTTTCTCTTCCTCCTCTTCCCCCCCCCCCTCCCCCTTCCCCCCCTCTTTTTTTTTTTTTTTATTCCATCAGCTGACTTAATTCAGGAGGAATAAGACATGTTTCGTTTTTTCACAGGTTGTTTGAGAGTCACATGAGAGGAACCTTAAGTTTATGATGAAATATCACACAAATACAAAACAATTGATTGCTGGCAGGGTAAAATTACATATCAATGTTTTATATTTAAATTTAGGGGGCATGCTGTGAAATCTGTTAATAGCTATGTGAAGGACTCTTTGCTTTTCTAATTTTATGGCCAGTAGTCAGGTTAAATACAACAAAACTCTATGGGCCAGGAGAATTTATGGGTCTTTATCCTGAATTTTGTGGCAGGCAACCACTAATATACATTTATTTATCAGAAAACCCGAAGCCTTGGTTATTAACGTTGTTTAGTTTTTATTCTATTTCTTGCTGTTAGAAAAATGGTTTTGAGCATGATAGCTGAAGGTTTTCTTACCCAAAAGGGGAAAAATCTAAATTCTAGTGACTCTTCCATTATTGATCACGGTTGATGCAGGATATGAAATGAAAAGGGGGGAGGCTCAGAGGAGAAGTATTATCCCCTGTTTTGCCAGGAGTTCGTTCTGTTTCTTTTTTTGAGATGCTAATAAACAATCTGAGTGCTATGCATGAGTATCCTTGCTTGCTTATAAACTCTACGTGAATGGATAGTACCAAAAACTATGATGCTGAGATTTATAGTAGGATCTTAACGTGTCGTGCTACAAAACAGAGTTGTCTTCAGACTCCGTTCCCTAAGTGACCTGACCTTGTGGCATCTTATGTTTGAAAATGGTATGACTCAAATCGCCTACTACCTATGGTGACAGCCTGATTCTGTATACAGTCAATAGAGAAAAGTAATTATGAAGTTCAAATTAGGCGCCTGCGGTCAGCTTGATTTAGGTGTTGCAGCTACACCTGTCCATTTGAGTCATGGTCTGGCTGTCCTGGTTAAGAAATGATTTGAATTCCATTTTTTTCTGTTGAATTCAAGTGCTTGACTTCAGTAGTATCTTTGGTACTTACAGTGTCTGGCCTCATACAACCCTAAGAAACTTTAATGAAGATGGCTTCCTTTATAGGAGACACTGAATAAACATACAGAGAGAGACTGAACTTTGCAGAACTGTTTCTTCTAGGTAGTTCTTGAAAGGAAAAGTCCAGATTAGATAGTGCCATGCTCAAAATTGTGTGGCAAACTATTAAAGTAGCTCGGCTTAAACTTGGATCTATTGATTCCAGTCCTGTATTGGAGTTGTTCTAGGCTGCCTTTATTAGCTTAACTTCTTTCATATTCGATGTTTTCTTCCATGAGCATTAGGACTATAAATGAAGAGCATAGAATGCAAGATAACTTATAGCAGAAGACTGATAGTTTGAGCTGTGTAAGCCATCCTGACTTTATCTCTGCTCATAGGACATGCAATTTCTGCAGCACATCTGGAGACTTAGATATTTTTATTTTCTCTGTGTAGTTACTTGTTAAATAATTTTGAGACGTGGGGTTGAAAACAATGCCTTTTTAAAGCCGTACCCTTGATACGGAGGTAGAAGACTTCCTGCCTGTTGGGTACCTTAGTCCATTAAGGGAAGGTATTTTGAGGTTTTCCCTTCTCTCCTCCTCACCCCAAGTTAGATGGTAAGTGGTTCTAAAACTTCATGTTGTTTTGGGTGAGTGCTTTTTCAGGATTCCTCTTTTTTTTTTTTTTTTTCCAATCTTCTTTTTCAGTAAGATTGATCTGCAAATTCCTGTGTAGCTGTCTAAAGTAAACTGAGGAATATGCTGTAGCTGTCTTGTGTTTGAAAGCATGACTGAAAAGGATGGGAGGCTGCTTTTTCTGCTGTCATCACTGTGACTCTAAAAATTGCCTAACTCCCTGCTCAGTTGATCCCCCTGTAGAAATACATATTATAGTGGAGGGTGCTTTAAGGCATAATGAATGTTTATAGCGTGCTTTGCTCTTGGATTAAAAATTGAGTAAAAGCACAGCTGATCATTATCTATCTGGTTCCAGCCAGCCCTTGTCTGCGATGCTGCATGCTTGTGTTTATGAAGCTGTAGTCTTGTTATGTATTTGCTTGTTCTCCCCTTGCTGATACTTAAATCATTCTACAGTTCTGCTTTGTTCTTACTGGTGTTTTCAGTCTGAAGTTTTTAGTAATCCTCACTTGCACGGTGTAAGGAATAGTATACAAATAGAAAAAAAGCTGTGATTAACTACATTACTGTAGGACTTAACTAGTGCTTCTAAAAATATGGCTAATTCAAGTCAGCTGGATGTAGGACGTGCAGTATAGCTTGGCGCCTTACTTGAATGATTTCTCATGGAAAGCCTGCATGACTTGGCAGCTATGAAGAGATTATATCTCTTACTCCTTCCTGTTACGGGAAGACAAAGGAACGGAGATGCATCACTTAATCAAGTTCACACTTTAAAACTAAAAGCCCCTCACAGAACCTTTCTTTAAAAGTACCATCTGTATTGTAATATATTAAGTCTTTTCTTGCAGGACTGAAGAAATTTCTCAAGTTTTAAGGATCTTCTCTGAAAGTTTTTCTTTTTGCTTCGGTAGCTGCTTAATTCTTGACAGTGCTCTTCCCTGCATGCCTTCTCTGCTGGCCAACTTGCATCCTTGCAGCACGGTGCAGTAGAACATTTCTTCCGTCTAAGTTTCTGCTGCTGTTTCTGCTCTGAAATACCTGTTCTCCTTCCAGCCCTGGGAGAGTAACAAATCCCCGCAGCCCATAGTTGTTCCTGAATGGGGAAGGAAGCTGATTTTTCCCCCCTGCCACACACACTGCCCCAAGGAACAGGGAGCAGTCGGACTCTGTTTTGGGGCTCTTTGTGCTGGTCTTCTAACTCTCTTAAAATGATGCCATTATTATGATGGACTCCAGGCTCAGGTGGAAATCTGATAAAAGATCAAAGGTTTACAACACAGGTTATGTTACCAGACTTGTTCAAGGAATGTGGACCTGTGCCTCTTTTCATGTCGTGTTTGTGGCATCAAGAAAGCAGAGAACAACTTGAAAACAAAGTTACCGCTAAAATGCGTTTCCCCAGCTACAAAAGTGAGGAAACGGCATTTTCAAAGCCTCTCTGAACAACTTTCTCCCCTGGAGAAACATTATATTGATAGAACAATTGGATAAAAGTCAATTCTGTTGCATAGAATACTGAAAAAACTTAGTATTAAACAGCTCCCTTTCCTTAGGAGGCTATTTTTGCGTGCTGTTCCTCTTAGAAGAACTTACAGAATTTAAACATTTTTTTTTTTTTTTCCCCTGAAATAACTGCCCAGAGTAATCACTTCAAAACAAGGCATGTCACAATGGTGGCATTGTCAAATGCTGAGACTGTAGGGCAGATAACTTCTTTTTCAGGGAATTTGTCTTTTGTAATGAGAATGTGTTAATTGTTTGATACATCTGTTGGCCAAAACAGAAGCCTTCAGAAATAACTTTTTTTTTTTCCTAGCAGTATTCCTCTTTAGAAAGTATTAAGCATTGAGCTAATCCAAATACTGGTTTCTGAAAAGTCTGACCGCTACAATGGACCAAGGCCGAAGTCTCAAGTAGCTTGTCTTGGTTCGGTTCTGTAATGGTTCGGTAGATGTAGCCAATAGCTCTAGAGATTTAGTAGAACTCTCTTCTGCTTCCTTTTGATATTTAACAACTCTTTCTTCATTCTGCTCTAGTATCAGATGCATATGTGCAGCTAGCTTTGCTTGAAACTGCCATTTATCTAGCAAGGGAATAGGCTTTCTGTTTTCTTTGATTGCCTCAGTGCTCAAAATGCCCGCATGCTGTTCTGAACTATGTTCCTGTTGACTATTTAAAAACCGCTTTGAAAAGCATGTCCAGACAGCTTTCCAAGGGAAGCCTCAGGAAGGGAGGGGGAAACAGGTGCCAGGGTAACTGATGAGGGGTCTTGGACTCCTACCACCTTGGTCTCATACTGGGCTCTAATCAGATGCTCTGGAAACACTTCTTTGCTGGAGAGCCGGGACTTCACTCCTTCCTGCTGTTTTGCCCAAGCTCTGAATAGTGACTGTGTTCCTCCTTTGCCTCTGGTGTTTTCATGGTAGGGCACATGACAAAATAAAGCTGCTTTATGGCTACACATGCATGCTGTGCTTCAGTGGTTCCTCTTCCAAGTGTTTTTGTGGACTATCAGGTAAAAGATGGGTGTAAAAAAAAAAAAATACTGATCAGTGGCTGAAGCTTAGAGCAAATGAATTTACTGTATTCAAAGAAGCTGGTAACTTTTCTTCATGGATCCATGTGCAGAAATGTTATGTTGTTTGTCACAAAGTCTGTTTGTGCACTGCATCACAGATATCTAGGTAAGTGTAGGTTTTTGGCAGGGTATACAAAGAGATGGTCAGAAGATTGTAAGATAACTTGCTATTTTACATCTTTTTGCAATTTTTTCTTTTGGATCTATGTTTAAAAAAAATAGACACTTCTGAAGCATAAACGTGCATGATGTGTGAAAAAGACCCTTGTAAATCAGCGTTCACTATGCAGTTATTTTGCTTTAGAACCCTATTGTGCATCCCACCTTCAGTTAGTGACCTGTTGCACCAGAATGTTTTCTTAGACAATATTTTCTTAGACAGTATTTCTTGTTAATGTGTATCATCATCTTCCCTGAAATCTCCCTTTGTGTTTTCCCCCCCCCCCCTTTTTTGTGATGCCTCAGCTGACACAGAAGATGTGTGCATTGTGGAGAGACTGTTCTCCAGTAGTCTGGTGGCCATAGTTAGCCTTAAAGCTCCACGCAAGCTGAAAGTGTGTCACTTTAAGAAGGGGACTGAGATTTGCAACTACAGTTACTCCAACACCATCTTGGCTGTGAAGCTCAATAGACAGGTGAGTAGTAATTTTGACTATGTGAAAGCAAGGGGAGGGATTGTGGGTCTTCCTCTGGCACTTTCTCTGCCTACTGCCCCCTGCCCTTGGTGACAGAGTTGCTATTTGAAGTTTTTACTTTTCCAGTTATAGCTTGGAAAGGTATATAGACACTTGGTACGATTTCACACAAATGAAAAGGTCAGATGTTGGTATACGCATGAAAAGTCTCCCATGGCATCTTCCTCAAAAGCGGATAGGAAACTGCTATGCAATTCTTTAATACTTTAAAATTTTACAGTGTCTCCTATAAAAAGTTGTTAGTATGGCCCTCAGGCTTAGATGTGTACCAGAACCTAATTTAGACAAAGCTGCTTGATCTGTTCTTTCCCAGTCTAAGCGTCGTTCGTTGGGTCTTGATTTGGGGCCGTAGGGGTTAACATCATATATCTTGCTGGGGAAGTGGGTTTCAAACTTCTGAAAATCATATGGCATCTGAATAAGCATATCAGGTTAAGCGTTTTTTGTTCCGTATTTATGCATTTCCTTAGAAAGCAAGTCCTGAGTAACCTGGTCTGACCTCATAGCTGACCCTGTTTTGAGCAGGAGGTTGGACTAGAGGCCTCCTAAAGTCCCTTCCAACCTGAATCATCCTATGATCCTGAATGTAAAAACTAAGTGAAACTGACCGTTCCTGTTTAGGCTTAAACTTAAAATTTGAGTTTTTATATATTTACTTTTGTAATGTTTATAAATACAGGTTTACTGCATTCTTAAGAAAATGGTATCACTGAGCTAGTAAAGTCTTTGCGCTAGGTACCTGGAATCGTACTTTGGTGTAGCAGTAAATCATCAGCAGCCTCCGCTGCAGATACAGGCTTCTCCATATTCAACCAGCTCATTCAAAGTGAGACAATGGTGTTTGAAGAGGAGATCTCTTTTTTTTCATTCTGCCCCTGCAAAGAAGTTTAAGAAGATGCGATTCCTATTTAAAATCGCAAGGGGCATAGTGGCCTGTTACATTTCTGGCATAGTGAGGTAGCGTAAAATGAGTAATTATCTTGTTAGTCATCTACATGTAGTCTAACAAAGCACAAATGAGATGTTGAACTTAATCCAAGTAAAACATATTTGTCCCTCTCAAAGATTGAGGAATATGAGAAAGTATTAGGCTCTCTAACTAGTTTAGAAAAGGTATGTCTTGGCTAAATAGAAAAATATACAAAGCAGAAAATTATGAAAATCTTCCTTTTAGGGGGAAAATACATGAGGGCAGGTGCAGAGTAACAATGAAATAGCTTTAAATGAAGGTTTCTGGTTTGCTGATTTAAACTAGTGATGTAAATCATTTTCATTTAAATCAGTTTGCACTAGCATGGTTGAGAGGCGTCAAGTACGCTGGTCAGTTTGAGTGACCAAGTGTAGTATTGCGCTGTTGAAGCCTTGTCAAGAGGTGTATCTTGTGTATCTTCTGTCGGAGTCTTATTTCTTCCTCTCAGGTGGGTGCAACCTTTTCCCTTTTGAAAGGTACCTAGTGCATTTTGGGCACCGTTTTTTTTAGGATTGATAACCGCATATAAACTCCGGCGTGATACCAGCGTTTCATCTTCTTTCCCTTGTCTAGAGGCTGATAGTGTGTCTGGAAGAGTCTCTTTATATACATAACATACGAGACATGAAGGTATTACACACAATCAGGGAAACACCTCCCAATCCTGCAGGTAAATAACAGAACTCTGAAAAAGTTGTGTTTTCTCTCTGTTTATGATTCTGTGTTTCCTAAAGGGAACTGTAGCACTGTTAATTCCATTGTCAAATGATAGTGACAAGTATGCAAGTATTGTAGTAAAGTCTGCCTGTTCAGTCCGGGTGAGATTTTTAGGAACAAAAGGCAGCTTCTGCCCATCCCTTGAGCTGCATCTTCCCGATATCTTTGTTTCCTGGAGTGAATGTAACAAAATGTTAGTTCAGAAAGGAGTAGTAGAGGTCCTTACGAGCTAGATATTGCCAGAATTTGTTGCAGTTAAAAGCTTATGGCAGGCTACCACTTTAGGAGGCATGGTGTCTTGGGAAATTCTACTTCTTCATCAGTTATTGTAGATTTTAGCATTTTTGTGTGGATCTTTGTACTTTCTATTAAACTTCATTGGTCTTTATAATCAACTGTTAGATGTGTTGCAGGTTGACTCTGAGATTACTGATCCTTTTTCCTGCCTCTGTCAATACCTCGTGAGGATGATTTGAATTGATGTTTGCAGTATTCAAACATACAGAATCAAAAAGCTCTGCTACGTAAGTTTTGGAATGTGCCTCTTTTTAATTCTATTTTCCTTATTCCTCTAGGATTGTGCGCGTTATCAATAAACAATGACAACTGCTACCTGGCCTACCCAGGGAGTGCAACTATCGGAGAAGTGCAGGTCTTTGACACCATCAATCTGGTACGGGTCTTTGACTACGGTTTCCCCTTCTAAAGGAAGAGGAAGTCATTTGGAAATGATTTAACTTGCTCAGAGAAGAATCACTAGAAGGATCACTGCTCTTGTATATAGAGGATTAAGCTGTGGATATGTAGCTCTTAATCTATGCTATACTAAGGTCCTATTCTATTGATTCACTCCCGCAGAGAGCGGCTAATATGATCCCAGCTCATGACAGTCCCTTGGCTGCTTTGGCATTTGACGCAAGCGGTACTAAACTTGCCACTGCGTCAGAAAAGGTAAGGTGACTTCTTATGGGCTTGTCTACAGTGATCAAAATGAAATTTGTTTCAAAGCGTTTTAAGCAAGTTTAACATGCATAATTGCTGTACGAGTGCCAAAACGGAAGGCTTACAGTTAAAATGACAAATCTAAGTTAAGAACTCTTAATGATATTTGACACAATTTTCATGCTGTGAAATACTGGGCAATAAGGTTATTTAAATAAATACACTTTAATCTGTCTGTAATCAGGGCAATCCTCTAAGCATTCCTTTAGATATTATTTGTTTTGTTTTGATGCTTGATTTGGTAATGAAAACGAGGCAGTTAAAGTCAGAGTAGAGAGGAGCATCTTTCCTTTCTTTGGCACATGATGATGAGTTATTGTCTCTGAACTGTATAAACTGGAAAATGAGAGGCCTCTTCTGTTTGGATAACGCACTTAAAATCCAGAGATGTAACATGCTTTCACCTGACAAAGGTAGAAATATGTCCGGGTGATTGTACTAGTGGGTAGTGTGGTCATTTTTGTGATTAAACATGATAAAAGAAAGGACTGTGCTCAATGCCTAGCTGCTGCTTACATTAGTAGCTCTCTCCTTATTTCTCTGCTTTTCAATTACGTCCTAGGAATAAGTTCCATAAATATTTTGTGTTAGTCTGTGATGTGCATCGGCTATGGTACGTTTATAGCAAAAGGGGTTATTGCTTGTGAATCCACTCTGTTCACCAGAGCTAATGCACAATGAAGGTACTTGAAATGAATCTCTGTTGTTTTCTTTTTTTCCTTTTTTCTTTTTTCTTTTTTTTTTTTCCCTTTACAGGGGACAGTGATCAGAGTATTTTCCATTCCAGAGGGACAGAAACTCTTTGAATTCCGAAGAGGAGTGAAGAGGTAAAGTTCAAATAACTGGTTAGCTGAAGCTCATTCCTTGCAGTAGCTCTCCAGTATGTGCTACAGTTGAGTTGGTATCTTGATTTTTTTTTTGTTATCTTCCATCTTCTTCTGCCGCTACCTGCATGCTTATAACATTTTCAGATTGAATGTCTTCCAATTTCCCTCCCTCAGACTTGTCTGTCCTACAAATCAATCCATTCAGAATTGTACTTGCTCTTGCCTTTTAAAAATGTATTGGTGAGGGCACTTGCTTAACATGGGTCACCTTTTGTAAGATATATAGTATTCTTATGGCTTTGCGTATGGCTGCTGTGTTTTCTGAATAGCTATTTCAAAATAACTGATTCGTGTGTTTGGTTTCCATAGTGCAACTTCTCTTGAGACCATTGTGCTGCTTTTCTTAAGATCACTAGGGGTTCATTTGGGATAGATTCCAGTCCCATAACAAAATGGAGGTGTGAAGCAGAAGCAGTACAGCTGATGTTTTCAGTCTCTTCTAAATCTTGCTAGCACTGTGATCGTTGGCAGTCACTGTGATGTGATTCTGTAGCTTATGGTAGTAGTAACTATGTAGCTCTTCTGGACTCTATGCAGAGGTAAGTCTGAGGTCAGACTGTTACTAATCGATTCCCATATCTAATATATGTCGGAGTTGAAAGTCATTAATGGGGATTTTGCTTTTGAGGTGCCTTAAGAAGGTGTCGATGACTGGGAATGCTTACTGTAGAAATGTTCTTATTTGCGAAGCAGTGGCGATTGAGAAAGCTGCTTAATTATACGGATTCTTTAGATGCTTTGGCTGAATTGAGTGACCTGCAAACTCTGTGGGGGGGGTGGGGAGAGGCGGGGAAGCAGGTGATTCTGCCATGCCGCTAGAGTTCTTCCCAGCTCTCACATTGCAGCTTATGTGAACGTTATGGAACTCTTTAGTGGTGAACGTACAGAGAGACTCCTGCCTACCCACATGGAGAGCTAATATTCCCATTTGCATTCATTCTCATGAGACACTTAACAGCACCTTTCTTCTTGATGCAGCATTCAAATGTCAATACTAATGCCTCACTATGGAGTTTTTTTTCTTTTTCCCCAGATGTGTGAGCATCTGTTCGTTGGCTTTCAGCATGGATGGCATGTTTCTGTCTGCATCCAGTAACACAGAGACAGTGCATATCTTCAAACTTGAGACTGTGAAAGAAAAGTAGGTTTCAAAGGTGCTTTAGATCATTCAAGAAAGGCTTTTAAATTGATTATACTTGACGGGATGTGTTCTCCAAAGTACGGGCGGACTCCTTTTGAACACGTCTTTAAAGTTAAGGGCATAGCAAGTCAATTATGAATCAGCTGCTGCTGAGCTGCACACTGTGCTAGTTAATAGAAAAAGTATTTCTACCAAAGGGAAATCAGATGTCCTTGGCAGAGGAATGTGAGAGGCAGTTAAATGTTTTCAGTCTTTGTTTTGCCTCCTCGTGCATTGATATGCCTCAGCAATATCTTCCAGCTGCCCATAGAGATTTCAAAGGCAACAGATTGTTAAATGCTCCTATTTAGGATTTGAGGAGATAGTCTTATTTATAACTTCCCTGGAAGGTATTGGAGACAGTAATTTGGTTAGTGATCAACAGATGAATAAAAACTTGTTGATGAGGTGTAGTACTTCCCAATGGATCCTACTCATATGTTATAAACCTTATGAAATGGAGTTTTATAAACAGAAGTATCAGTTTACAATAAACGTTCTTCCTCACCAGGCTGAGGGTATTGCAAGACACACATGTGCCCTTGCATAAATAGAGTGTATCAGACTTCTCACATTTCTGAAGAGAAACAAAATAACTGCTTAACCTCTTCAGAAATAGAGGTTTCAAAGTGCTTACACCTCTGTCTCTATAACGTGAAGCCAAAATCAGAGCCTTCGTCTCTTCTCTTCCCCCCTGCCTCTTTCTGCATTGTAGACCTCAGGAAGAGCCTACAACCTGGACAGGTTACTTTGGAAAAGTGCTCATGGCCTCAACGAGCTATCTGCCCTCTCAAGTCACAGAAATGTTCAACCAGGGTAGAGCCTTTGCTACGGTCCGCCTGCCGTTCTGTGGACACAAAAACATCTGTGCGCTTGCTACGTGAGTAAAGAAATCGAAACTGCATTCGCCACCTGCTGGGCTGCCAGTGTTGAGCTAGGGAAACGCTGACGTTGTAGGACGTACCTCTGCAAAGTGGGTAATATGCAGAGCGTTGGTTCATCTGTTATTATGTCAAGGCCTCTTTCGGCTCTTAAACTGCGTGTGAGAGCTAATCTCAGTCTAGGGAGAAGCGTATTTTTCTGAATGTTCAATAGGCTGTTTCTAAGTGTTGTTTGAAGATGATGTCTTAATTTTGAAAGAAGCGTTCTGAGAACACACCCATGGGCTTACGGCACTTCCTTTATGCAGAGTAATCTTGTATTTTATGTTGGTAAATTGCAGAATCTACTAACTCTCTGTTAAAGAAGTCTTTGAAAGCAATTTCATATTACTCTTGTCTCTAAAGTAACAGCGAAAGCGATAGCATTCGTTTAAAGTTAATTGTGATGTCTAAACGTAGTCTTTGTTCTGTGTTCACCAAAGGCAGGGCTTGTTTGGCACAGCTACCAAAGCAATAAGATGAGCAGTAGTGAACTTACTTTTGTGGGATTTCTCTAACTTTATGCTAAATTGACTTTGTGTTTGTATTTTCTCTTCTCTGATCTCAAGGCACTATTTAAGCAATAATTAAGCCTTGTAACATTTCTGAAATAAGTGAATGCTTCATGTTACAGTATTGGTTTGCAGAGTTACACAAAGCTAGTAACAGAATAGTAACTTCAGAATTTATTTTACTGTGTTATGTATGAGTGGATTCCCATGGCATCCCATTAGCCCCGCAGAGTGGTTATGCCTTACTCCTTGGCACACAGTTCTTTCCTAGGCGCTCTATCTGCGTAGTCATTAATAATATTCCTTATCTAGAAGTGAGAATGTGGAAAATAACGGCTTAAAATCACAGAGGGAGGAGGGAAGCTCTTTGCTGCTGTGAAACTTACGTTCTTCATTTCTATTGCCCTCCCACAAACCCTTCTAGAATTCAGAAGATCCCTCGTTTATTGGTGGGAGCTGCTGATGGGTATCTCTACATGTACAACTTAGACCCCCAAGAAGGAGGAGAGTGCACACTAATGAAGCAGCACAAGTAAGTTCACGTGAGCTGCGTTTTATTTCTTTACAAAGTCCTACTTGTTCTTAAATTTATTTCCTTGCTGCCAAAGTCTAACCTAGAACAGCTCGTTTCTTTAGACTAATTTTTTTCCAGACCTGTGACACGAATGAGTAACTTCAGAATCCCCCTGTGTCTTTCTTCCTAGTATCTACTACACTAAGCACCGCTCTACCAGCAGAAACTTAACACTGTCTGATTGCAGTGAAGAGTCAATCGTTGTTAGCTGTATGCTCCTATTTCACTTGGCAGTTCAAATTGAGTTACTTTAACAAGAATTTGAAACGTCTGAGACACCATCCACTTCATCAATAAATGAAGTGTTTACAGAGATAAGAAACAGGCGTTATTTTGATTTTACAGAGGGGAATCTAACCTATGGAGTTACCTATATTCTCTCTCTACAGGTATCTTTATTAAATTCCCTTGCTTGCATAAGGCCAGCCAAATGATGTATTTTGTGGCAGTACCGTAGAACGGTTCAGGGAAGCGTAACAAGGCTTTGTTACATTTCTAAGGTCTGGAGGGAACGTATAGGGTAACATGGTTGGATTGCGTTTTTTATAATCAATCGTAGAATTAAAGCCAATAACTTGTGCTGATGATTCAGGTCTGCAGCTTCTGTCAACTGTGTAATATTGATCAAGAATGGATCTTTTGGAAAACTTTTATGTGAACGCTTCAAAGCTTGAGCTGTGCTTCCACTTGTGGATGAAGTGATGTCTATTTAGGGTGAAGCTTTTATCAAGTTCTTAATCTCTGAAATGCTCTAATACCTTCACTAGGAGGGTTCCCCAGTATATGGGAAGCAGCCACTTCTGTTGTGGACAGAGCTTAAGAGACAATCTGTAATATTGCTGGGAGTTTTGGTGGGGTTTTTTGTTTGTGCGTGGGTGTTTTTCTTTTTTAACATGCAGTCAGTTTTGAGTCATTTTTTTTTCCCTAGCATCAGCTACTAGGATTTAGATCCTGATACCATGCCAGAGGTAAATGCATGGTTGACGTGTCTGCAGTGTTAAATATGAAATATAGTCAGAAAGATGCCTTACTGACAGCCCTCTAGAAGGGTGTGATACTTCTGTCCGTACACAAGTGATACGTAGCACAGGGGATGGGCAAAAGATGCCTGGCCTTCCTGAAGGGACAAAGTTTCTCATGTAACATGTGTACATGCATTATTTTTGCATGTCTAATGAGATGTTCTTGGGTAGCTGTCAGCTAAAGCGGTACTGTGCCCAGGTAGAGCACCTGTCCAGCTAACCTCTCTCTGCTTGGTAGGCTTGATGGCAGTATGGAGCCAGCCAACGAAATTCTGGAGTCTGCATCCCACGACCGGCCGTTGGTAGCACAGACGTACAGCGCTGCTGTGACTAAAGGTACATATGTGCCTTCCTCACCCACAAGGCATGGTAAGGAGAAGGCTGGAAATGGGGCAGAGAACGCCTCTGCGTGTTGTTTCATTCTAGATGGCTGCTTGAGCTCTTCTCTTTCAACGCTGAGCTTT